CTGAAATCCATCTTGTTTGGATGAACAGGAATTGATCCAAGCACGATATTAAATGCTTTCCTGAACCAGGATCTTGGCACACAAAATATTTTTTTCTGAAAACTAACTGCACCATAAGAAATCTTCTGATGAAAGGTTTCAGAGTCCCCTCAAAATGACTCACGGTTTTGTCATTTAATTAAAACTTACGACACCTGCAAAGCCCGTGACAGTCTGCGTTTGCCATAGATTCATATTAGCAGCGTTACGGTGCAGAGGGAGGTGCTCTCTCAGCAAAGCTGCACCTCGCCCCCTCCTTTGGGTGATACAGCTTAGGACAAGGTGCTGCATCAGGTGAATTACCCTTGGTGCCTGTTACATGCCATAGGTAATGAAGTCCATGCTGTGTTTGAAGGACGGGTGCTCCTGTTCACCGAATCCATACACCGAAGTGGATGGCACAGTAGTTGTAATCTGAAGATACTGGTTGGAGAAAAACAGGTCAACCAGGGGACTGTCCCACCTGTGGCGAGTAGAGGGAGACATGATTAGTTTGCTTATCTTTGGTGTGCATTGTTTTAAGTCCACGTCTGGCTATTGATAATTTTTCTGTGTTTTGGAGAGTAACAATATTAAAAAACCATTAAATTCTATGCATGCCTCTGACATGCTTAACCTAACACACATTAAATTAATCTTGCAATGGCTGCAGATATCTCATCTACTTACACAACAAAGTGCATCAGTACGATTTTGAAAAGAACTACTAAAATAACAGAAGACACTATCTATAATCCTATTACCAAAATAAGTGGTTGCTTGTGCTATTTCTATGACAACCAACGGGGCAGGCTAAAAATTGTTATTACGCAGTGGGGTTCAGAATCTTTAATGAGAACAACAGACATTTAGTTGTTATCAGTTTTTACTTTTTAGTGTTTTGCTGGATCAGGACCCAAATACTCTTGCTACCCCCAACTTTATGCAGGTGCCTAAAGCAGAGGGTTATCTTCCTCCAGATTCTGTTTGAATGAGATGTTTTTATTGTGATGACTTTCTCCTGCTTCTCCCGCCAGCTTAATGCCTTTATTTCTATTGAATCATCTGTGGACACAGGCTCACATTTTAATTAGGTGTTACATTCTGTTTCCTATCTCTAGTGCTATAATGAGCTGCAAGCTAGATGGGGGAGAGCATAGTCAAGCTGTGGAGAAGTGTTTCGTTAATGGTACTGTGTATGCCATGAGTATCACATTTAGATAGCACCCTCTTGAGCCTTGTTTAACCATGAATTTGTTACAGCTAATTAAAATAAATGAGCCAAAGCCATGGAGCATAGAAGTGGCATAACTCTCCTTTTAATGGTCTTTTGTCAATGATTTTGACAAAATTAAATGGTTGATCAAATTGACCGGTAAATCAGAGAAGTGGAAGACGAGCTGTGTTGGCAGGGAGCAACGCTACCCCTGCAAGGGGATGGCTCCCTGGCGAGCCCTGGCTGCCCCCCATGGCACCGGCACCCCTGCCTGAGGACAAGTCCCTGCTGCTGGGAGGATTGGGAGGGCACTGCCACTCCCATCATGCTGGGCTCAAACAGCTCTGCTCTCCCCATGAGGAAGCAAGGACAGCCACTCACAGGGATGCCCAGAGGCAGATCCAAGACACCCTTCTGCCTCTCCATGCAAAGACCAAGCACAATCTACCCCTAAAGTGTCCTACACAAGTCCAAGTCAAGCACACAGACTGAAGGGTCTAGGTATTTTTCTAGCAGTCTATTTGGCCTTTCTCACAAGCAAGAAGAGTAAGAAATCGTATTTACGTCTTGATTTGGTTCTTTGCCAGCAGCAGCCCTCCCTCTCTCCTTTCCATCATCTCCTCCACCTACATGCAGCACTGAATAAGGTTATTTTCTTGTAGAAAGGTTAATGCACACAAAATATCCCTGAGAATCAGATCCAGCCCTTGGCAAACAGAGGCCTTTCTGCAAGAGTCTGGTGCTCTGTAGGAACAGGGATGGGCTCTGGAGCTATATTCCTGTCCAAAGGAGCACGTCTCTGTCGCTCTGCTCTGTGCCATGGCAGGCACGGTCACTGATCTGAGCAGACCACGGGGTTATGCAAAGAGAAAAGGATGCCAGAGGGGAAATGCTTTGGGAAGAGTTTAAATATCTGTCCTAACTCATTGAGCACTCTCCATGATGGCTGTTCAGAGGACACGAGTCTTTGTACGTTCATGGTACCCACACTACAGCACTGACATTTCCCATTGTGAGAGCAATTAGCGTTACCGTGGCATTAGAAGTGCTCCTTCCACTCAGCAAGTCCTCTCCCTGCCCAGGAGGGTCAATGGGGTGGTGCAAACCATAACCCAAAAAACAACCCCTCTGTCCCACCACGTCGTTTAATGGCACAGATAAACTGGTTTATACCACATGCATTCCCTCAAGCCACTGTTACGCACTCAACTTCTGCACAGCATCGCCAATACAGTGCCCAGCTCTGCACCCCTCCATCCCTCATCTCCTCGGGGGCTGCCACTCCCAACAGCGCAGCTCCCCGTGCTGTGCCACCAGCCGTCACTCTCCATTACCCTCATCTTCCCTTAGACGTCTGCTTGCCAGAACAGCCATGTGCTTAAATGTAGCATTAACTATGACATAAAAAGGCTGGTAATGACTCTTTCTTTTTTCTGGGCACCATTATGTCTTCTCCATCTGAGGGCAAGCATGGACAGGTTTTCCCCTGGCACCTCTCCCTGCCTCCACTCCCAAGGCTCTGCCTTTGTGCTCTGCAGTGCACTGTGGTAAGCTGCTGTGCTACTGCCTGTGTTTGCTTGTGTTGTGTTGGCAAAGAGCAATCTTCAAAATGAAAAAAATTATGTCTGTCGTTCCTTGAACACTTGGAGACAATAAAAGAAAATGTTATGTTTCTCTCACCTCCCCTCCTGCTGGTTTAAAGCAGATAGAAGGAACAGAACAGGAGGGAGCATGAAATGACACCATGTGCACCGGAACTTGCGTGGTTCTCTCTGACAGTCCTACAAACCGTAACAGTGCTGTGATGGACAACAGAAGGGATCTAAAAAAAATCTAAAAATACAGCTGAGCAGTTGTTCGCTATCAACAATTCAACCCCTACCAGGAGTTACGCGTGGCAAAGCCTGTGAAGACGGGAACCCTTTCCTTTGCACACGAGGTAATAGCTGCACTCGTGTTTACTGCTGCAAGTCCTAACCCTTTAGTGCCTCTGCAGTGGGAATGCTCCTGCCTGTGGAAATACAAACTGGCCTCCCCACATGCCTGCCTGGCCCATTGCCTGCTAACAGTTGCCTGCTGCCTGCCCGGGAAGTCTGACTGATAACAACTAATATGTTTTCCTCCAAACACTATGCTCAAGAGTAAACCTCTCTATTTTTTAACCTTATACCAGAAAAAAAAAAAAAAGAAGGATTCAGGATTGAAAATGTCTGTGTAGCAATTAACATTTCTGGCCAGCAAGTGAACCAGTTTCACATCCAGTCCTCAACCCTCAGGCCACCGGGACGAAAAGTAACTCCAGCAGACCAGCGAAATAGTATTAAAGGTAGGCTAATAGATAAAATATCTGTTCATGTTCAAGGTGGAATTTATGACTAACAGCATCAGCGTTTGAGGGGGATGACTAAAAAGCAGTATGAAATGGTTTGCACAAATGCAATCAACAGTCTTTTGTAATATGAACTGGACATGACAATTTCCCTGGTTGAGTGGCTTTGCTCTGTTGAAGTTTACAGGAGACCTATAACCACAGTATGTGCAACGGCTCGGGGCACTGACTCACCTGCCGAGAGCAAGCAGCTGGTGGCACTTATAAAGGTCATCTTATTAGACCTCCAGAATTAGGAGAATTGGGACACATATATGATACATCATTAAGACATGCATCATGCACTATCTGGACATTCAAAAATCATTTTAGGTTGGGAGAGGGTTTTTTTTCTTCCTGTTGCAATGAATTCAGGAGAAATGAGCTCATTACTTTAACGTGTGAAGATCTGTCCCACTCAGTCACTTGGAGAAAATGTCCTCCTGGCCTCAGAACCCTTAGGAACCCTCAGCCTTATGAAAAGGAGCACACTGTATATATTATCTGCATGTAAATTCAGGTGGAACTTCACATGTTTATCAGAAAAGTGGGTCTAGGCTTACTGGCAGAGCTTGAGCATACCTTTTCAGAGGGCACGGGCTATGGCTGTATGTGCAGGCTCCCTGTAAAGCAGTAAAGCACCTTAGGGACTGAGTAGTATTGGCCTTATTTTCAGATGAACCTCAAATATATCTGGTCCCTGACTCACCCCACTTCAGATGCTGGAGAGCATCATTTTAGGAGCCCAGGTCTCTGAGATTTTCCATTACTCTCAGATTGCTAAAAAATATTTCCACTGTCTCACAACAGCCATATTCTGTATTAGCTCTAAGTCTTGGTGCACCACTGAATTGCAGAAAGCACACCAAGAATGAACTTTTATATGCTTATCTTACTTTTAGGGTGATTTATCAAATGGGTGGAGAAAGTCAGCACAAGCAACCAACAGATTTTACACAGATGTGACATTTTAAAGAAAGAATTGCAGGGTATATTTATAGTTATTGACATGGTTCTGCTCAACTTCTACTGTATCCATCGTCATGGTATCAGGGCATCTCCTGTAAAGTGGCTGGATATATAATGCTTCATTTTTGTTCTGAAAAACACTTGGGTAAGTGATATACCTACTATACTTCTCGCCTACATAACATAAATCTTAATGAGTAGAAGACTAAAATAATGGCTCTTACAAACCAGGAGCAAACCCAAGCTACCCATGATGCACACAATTTGCTCCTGTTGCTTTCAGCAAAATTGCAGTTTAAGACAATAACGTTATAAATCATTCTAATAGCCTTGCCTATGTAAAAACTTCTTCATGGTAAGTGGCGTCTGTGCTTACCACCACATCAATAAAAAAGGCAGCTGAACTCTGCAGCAGCCTTTTTGGAAATTAGGGAAAATCTTGATTAGATTTCGGTTATTTGTGCTGTATCTTCCCAAGTGTGATTGCAAACGAGGTATTCCAAACTCTTAACAGAGAGAAAAGAGCCCTTATCTGGCTTGGGAAAAACGTTCTGCCTTCCGTTATTCTTATGACATCATGATGGAAAAGTCAGTTGGAGAATGGGTATTAAAGTGGAGAATCAAATCAATAGTCATCCTTCTGCAGCCTGTCTCCAGCAATGG